GGGGGGCCAGGGGTGGGAAGCGGGGGGCCGTGGCGGCGAAGGGGGGGTTGTTTACAGCCACGGAACTTGTTTCCTTCCACCTGCCTCGGGGGAAGCAGTTAGCGATTTGTTAGTCAAACCAGATGAGCCTTCCTGGAGCGGCTTCCTGCCAGGCTCAGCCTCGCCGGGCCGCCGCCGGGTCCCCCCCTGCGTCCCCCGGCTTTGCCCGTACCCCCCCACCGCAACCAGCGCAGCACCGTGCCAGGATGCCGGGAACCTCGACGCGGTTTTCCCACCGGAGGCTTCCAGGCGTCGCCGGTTGGTGCGGGCGGGAGCACCGGAGCCACGCTTGGAAAACCGTGGCGGCAGCGGCGCTTGATTTTTCCAAGCCTCTGCCCAAATATCTACGGAGAGGTTGCGCCGGGCACGGCAGCGCCCGCGATGGTGCTCTCCCGGCGTTCTCGGGCGACGGTTGGGTGCCGGCGTGACGGTGGGGTGCTGCCGAGCTTGCCGAGGGTGATGGACCGAGCGCCGAGCATCCGTCGACGCACGCATCCAGCGCCGTTGGCCCAGGAGCGCGGGCATCACCCCTGCAGAAACGGGGCCCACGCACGGACGAGGAAGTGCCAGCCTGCGCCCCCTCGCTAATCGAGTGGCGCCGGGTGATAAATAAGGAAGTTAACACCCAACCCGGGCTGCTAATTAGCTTTTAACCTGTACTAGCAGTTAACTACAAAAGGCAGTCATTTGTTCCGGGGAGCTGGTAGCGTAGAAAGAACGAAACACGGCCAATTTTGTTCAGGATGAATTAAGACTTGCAAATGTAAAATGAGTTCATCTATTTAATTAAGTAGCGGCAATATGGATGTTAAATTAAGTTAATGGCAGGCATGCCAAAACAAGGTTATAAAAATCTTGTCCTGGCGGGGTGGGTTCCGGATCCGGCCCTTGGATGGGGGGGGGCGGGGGCTCTGCCCTGCCCGCCGGTGGCCCCTGGGGTGGGCTGGGGGCTGCTGGCTGCTGGCCCTGGGGACCCCCCTCCGGCCACCGCAGGGATGGAGGGAGAGGGAGAAGGAGTTGGAGGAAAAAAAAAAACCAAAAAGGCAGGAGGAAAGGAAAAGCGTGTCTCACCCAGCGCCGCAATCTTATCAGGGCTGAACTTTACTCTCCTGCTAAAGATATAGGATACTTTAGGGACATCGGAAAGAAATAATAACCCTCTGATTTGTAGCTCTCGGGCTCTGGCAGCCGAGGGGGAAGGAAGACTGTCTTCTGCCATTACCATTTTTTGTATGAACTATTCCCCAAAGAAATCAAACCCTTGTACAAGCCCTCCCGTGCGGCAGCCCCTGCTCCGGCGCTGACCCGAGCCGTGCGGATTATCACCGCGCATCGCAGCCGGAGACAGGAACATTCATTAAAATTTGAAACACAAATGGAAAATTGCTACTTGAAGCCTCCTTGCCAGAGAGCCAGCCGCTTGATCAGAGACCTCATTAATGTATCTAATGTGTAAGGAACAATTAGACTTTTCAAAGACATCCTTTTCCCAGCCAGGGAAAAAAAAAAAAAAAAAGAAGCAGCTTGAACCCCCGCCCCCCCCATCCAAACCCAAACCCAAACCCGCCTCAAGGGATCGGGGTGCACAACCCCGTCGGGAGCCTACGAGCCGCCGGAGAGTCTCGGATCCATCCCGGCACCCGAAATGCCCGTTTCTGCTTAAGTTAGATGGGGAGGAAAGTGGGCTGATTAAAAAGCTGATTTCTTTTCCCAGCGACCGGCGGGGTTTTGCCATCCTCCCGTAATTAGCCGGTTACGCGGCCGTATGTTTTATTTATGAGCCGAGGGCGGAGGGAAGGGGAAGCGAAGGAACGACCGTGCCCTATATATCTGCAAATAAAACACTTCATTTCCCTCCTGGGGAATGTCACCTCGAGAAACCATCGCTTTCCTGCTCACTGCCCCGTCCAAATCGCAGGCTGTAAATGGCTTTGTGGGCCTGGCTGGCGCTCAGATGGGTTTAAAATATGGATTTATGTCTTTATTCTGCATAGTCAAAGGTCAACAAGAGCAGGAAATCATCGCTGAGCCGCTTATTTACGGTGAGAGGCGGCCGCTCGCTCCTCTTCTCGCTCATGCATCCCCACCAGCAGATGCTTTCAGGGTGCCGGGTCGCGGCAGAGCCTGGTGGAGACCGACCGCGCCTCAGTTTCCCTAAGGCGGGCTGCTTGGGGATGGGCATCCCGCCAGGGACCGCGGCGTGGGTGTCCCCGGCACGGCTGCGTCCCCTTCCTTGGGGACCCCCGTGAGGAGGTCGAGCATCCCCAAGGAGGTCCGGCATCCCCGGCACGCGGCGTCCCCGTGGCGAGGGTACCGTGGCGGGCACCCCGCGCCCATCGGCCGTGGCCTTGGCTCGCTTGCTCGGCGTGGGCAGGGCCGGCGGCGTGCTTGCCCGGCCGGCCCCGCGAGCTGCGCTCTCATGCTTTGCTAATCCCGCCTGGCACCTGCCCCAGCTCCCGGCGGCTTCGCGCGAGCAAGGAACCAATTAATCCTCCCGGCGCTCGGGGAAGTGGGTCAGGCTCGTCAAGCTCTCCCGCTAACGAGGGGCAAGGCGAGGCGTGGCAGAGCCGGCTGCTGGGCGGTCAGGCGGGTGTCTCACGCCGGTGCCCTGCGTCCCGTCTCCTGCGGGGTGGTAAGTGGGTAAACTGAGGCAGGGGGAACGCTCGCCGCCGGCGCGCGCGCGCGATCGCCCGCAGAGCGGGGACGACCGAGGAGGAGGGTGGCGGATAATTCGGTTGGGCCGATGTCGCAAAGGGCCGGGCTGGTTTCCCAATGGGGCTCCCCGGGCGCCGTGCCTCGGTTTCCCCATCCCGGCGAAGCAACGGGAGCTGCCGGCTCGGGGTGCTGGGTGCTGGGGCGGCGTTAGGGTTTTCTTGGCAGGGTGGGGAGTACAGGCAGCGCAGGCAGCGCAGGCAGCGCGCCCCTTTGAAGTGGAGCCCAACTTCCAGGAGTGAAGCAATTCTCGTTTGCATAATGAACAAAGAGAGCAGGGGGGAGGCGAAACCCCAAAGCCCGAGCTGGCAGGCAGGCCTGCCCTCCCTGCCTGCCCTCCCTGCCTGCCTGCCCGCTCCCCCAGCCGCCTGTAATTACAGGTTTATTGCCTGTACAGCTATTGTGTAATGACATGTTTGCAAATTAATTTTTACGGCTCATGCCATGGAGGGG